CCTTGGTCCCAGGACTCAGAGGCAAGCGGATCTCTGCAAGTTTGAGGCCAGTCTGGTCTGCAAAGTGAGTTCCAGGATACCCAACATAGTTACACACAGAAACCCTATCTCGATAAATAAATAAATAAAATGTTAAAGCAGGCAGCAGGTCCAGACTATTCATTATGATTTCCAGTATTCAAAAACAAACAAAAAACTCACTAAGGTTCAACCATAGAGACTGCAGCTAAGAACTGTCTAAAGGTCCAGTCTCTGACAACCATAGGATGAGACTCCTCTTTCTTCCACGGTTCCGCTCTTTTGAGATAGATTCACTGAGTAGCTTCCATAGCTAGTTGTTGAAGGGAGACATAAATGCTCCTGGCCGCACCAATCTTTTCCCTAGAGAATGTTGAGCACCGAAGACACTCCACCTGGAGCTTGTTTTCTTCTTGGCAGAACTGGCCTTTGGGCAAAGAAATGACCATACCTCAACCACTGACAAAGAAACATAGTATCTGTAAATGGATAAAACAGGACTGTCAAATCCTGCCAAGACTGGGTAAAATAGTTTTGAAAAGTTTCTTGCCTTTGAAAATGGTATGTCAGTCATTTTAGGCCTTAGTCAAAGTTGGTTGCTTCAACATTGCAAATAAGACTTTGGGTGATTGCCCAGGTAGCCAGTTGTCTCTGTCATTTGTTGCACATTTTGGAAGTTGCTTGATTGCATTTCCTGCTTACTCAAATAATATTGTATCCCTTCTCAGGTCTTTGATGGGGTTGAAGATTAGATAGTTGTAGTTACTTTCCTTGAGATTTAGCCAAGCTTAATTTCAATGCAAGAGTTAGACTCCCTGAAATAGAATGTTTAGTAAAACTTTCGTTATGTGTTCCTTGCTTAATATTGTTTATATTGTTTGTAACTTTATATTTGGTATATAGTTGTATTGGGTTTGGATCGATCTTGTTTAGACCAAAGGGGGAGATGATGGCAAAGCTCTGCTAACCAATCGCGTCTAGTTAAGTGTGGCCACCTGGAACCCAGGAAGAAAAACTGAGAGGGACCAGGTGCGTGCTCTCTGCACGATTCCCGCCAGACACAGAGGAAGTCAGACTCTCCATTCTTGTGACGTGAGTTTCCCCTTATAACAATTAAAAATATTTATCTTTAAGCTGGCCTGGTTATATCCCGAGTTGAGCTAGCCTCAACAGCTGGTCTTGTTGTCAACCTAACAACATCTGGGATGAACTAGAACCAAGATTCTGAGTACTGTAAAGGGTTTTCCTTGATTTAATCACTTGAGGTATGAAGACCCACCTTAAACCTGAGTTTGGATCCCTGGCAAACGTGAAAAGTTCTCATTGGGATGGTGTGTGTCTGTCATCTCCCTGTTGGGAAGGCAGAGTCAGGAGACTCCCTGGGGCTTACTGGCCAATCAGTCTAACAAAATGGCTGAACTCCAGGTTCAGAGCGAGACCATGTTCAGAAAATGAGGTGGAAAGTGATTTAGGAAGACAGACGATGTCAGTGTATTTCCTCCACACAAATAGGTATATATATACACATATGTGCATGAAAGTGCACGTACCCACGTGTGCGCATGCACAGACACACACACACACACACGTGTACACACACCATTCAATTATTTAGCACCGAATCGACGTTAACACTGCAGGAAGTGATGTTTTGTGACTCCAGGCCCCTGGTGAACATATGCTCCAAGGGTAAATGAAGTTCTACTTATGGAAATATGGGCCATCCAGAAAGGACAGGAATCTCACCACCGGGCAAATTTTTTCTAACTTTCCCCTGAAGAGTGAAGATATGTACATTAGGAGGCAGTCTGGAGGTGCATAGGGCTAGGAAAACAGCCACCACAAGGTGGAGCAAAGTCACAAAGAACTGATGTGAAGCCCAACTTCACCAACCTGGTCACCTGGCTTTCTAGGGTTTAAATCCTAGCCATTCGCCACATTCAAATTTGGGAATAAATTTGGTTCTCAAAAATGAGAAAGATAATTACACTGAATGACCAAATAAGAAACAAGCTCCATTGGTATACAACCACAATAAGAACAGCTCTTCTTGGTGGATGTGAACCTGCTTCCTTCCCAGAGGCAAGGAATTTACAGTCTGGATGGAGGAAGACGGGCTCTGAATTCTGTCCTTGTTACACTTTAGTTACTGAACCTTTTGCCTCCAGATTCTCCTCTGTAATTCGCGGGCAGTAGTGCCCACCTTGTGGGGTTCTTGTGAGAATGTGTACAACATGCTCACCTTAGAGAGAGATGCTCACACATAGCAACGTCAAGCCAAGAACATTCAACATATTACATTGACTGGCTGATGGACACTGTGATAGTTTATGCTGTCAATTCACTAGGTTCTAGAAGTAACTTGGGTACAAAAATGAAATAAACTCCAACGGCATCATTGGGGATAAGAATCCCAGTTAGATTTGAAGGAATCCCCTTTAAATGAGACTTTGATTGTCAACCACACAGTCTCCCTGCCTCTGCTCTCACTCTCCCCGGACTGAGCCATCCTTCTGCTCTGCCAGGAGTTATCACACCAATGCACCAATCTAACCATGGCACTCCTTGCTGTCCCAGGACTGTGTCTAGGAGGCCTCTCCCAGTCAGCTCTGAGCCTCTTTTCCAGTCTGGAGCTTCGCTGTGTACTGCTTCCTAAGGGAGATGCACCTGCAGCCAGAGCAGCCCAGACCTGAGTCCCAGACACAGAGGGCTTGGTGGTGAGACCACTACTTCCTTAGAATAGAAGCTTTCTTAGTCTGCACCCCTGTGCAGTGAAACAAAAAAGCAAATGCTTTGGGGCTGGAACCGAGCTGGCAGCTGGCACAGCTTAGCTAGAAAGCACGAAATCCTGGCTTTCGTCTCCAGCACCACACATAACCAGTGTAGGACTGTGATTTCAGCATTCAGGGGGTAGAAACTGGCATCAGGAGTTCAAGGTCATCCTTATCCACTAGCAAATTTGAGGCCAGCCTCAGCTACAGAAGATCTTATCTCAAACAGACAAACGAAATTCAAGGCCAGCCCAGTCTTGTGTCCAAAATAAAAGAGCCCTTCTTTTCTGTTACAGAAGGGAACATCACTAAAAACTAAATTGATGCAATGAGCAATTTAAAAAATGCCAACCCATTGCATATATATGACCCTTGCATATGTTTAAAAAGTATTTTTCACCTCCAATCGTACCTAATTTATTTGAGTGTATTACCCAAAGTAAAATACATCTTTTCTCTGAAATGCGCCATCTCCTCACTAAAATCGCCAACTATTTACTGGTCAACCCTTAAACACAGGAACTGGGGGTGTGGCTTAGGGATAGCCTCGCACGTAGGAGGCCATTGGTTATGCTCCATGGCGGCAAAGTAACAATCAATTGCTGAAGTACTACTATTCTGCGATTTCTTACTCCCAAACTGCCTCATGCACATAGCCCATTTTTCTTTCCCCTCTCTGTCCCCAGGCACTATACTTGAATGAGACTATTTTCCCTACAGTATCACCAACTGCCTGTGATTATTTACTTATGCAAATAAGTAAGATCCTTTAGGACAGGTGCCTAATGCCTATCTCCGCCCCCTCCCGCCCCTGCTCTTAGCTCGTGTTTGGTAGCACCAAGAACTAATGTTCATCACTGACTACGGGAATGAATGCTCAGAGTCTAAAAGTCTCTACGACCTTTAGATCTCGCAGTGGAAACATTTGGGCAACAGATATGCCTTGTCGTATCACTTTGATAAATCAGGATCACAGCATTTGGGAAATTAATTTGAGAGGATCCAGGAAAGGTCTAAAGGGTAAAAACAGCTGGATGAAAGCTAGCAAGAGTGACTGATTCCTATTATACCACGCTTTCTCTGCCATCCTAGTATCTGAGATGCATCTAGGACAAAGAATGGGATGGTGTCAAGAAGTTTTCTTCCCTGCCTCAACTGTAGAGCTTCATCCCCCTATTTTTAACAGGAAGACCTTTCGCAATCCAATGCTCAGTTTTCCTCCTGGGATCCAGCATCTTGGAGTCTATTACGGATGACCCAACTCAGGACTTCAACCATTGGATAAGATCGTGGCCAGAGCCCAGCTGGAAGGCGGCAAGGGGGTTTGTTCCCAAGTTCAGTGGGGTCTCCTGGCGAGCAAAGCGCAGGGGGCGGCGCCCAGGGCCGCCGTTGGGTGTGCAGAGCTCCGCTCGGGTTGGCCACCAGGGGCAGCCATCTTCCAGGACGAACCCAGTGCAAGGCCAGGGCGAGGGCGGAGAAGGGTCGGCCCAGGAACGCCGTCCCCTCAGGCGACAGGACCCCGCCTCGCCTGAGTCCTCTCGACCGGGCGCTCAGAGCCTAGGGCCAAGCGAGTGACTGGGCGGCCGCCGGGCGGGGGCGCGGCTCCGGGTGCGCGTGTCGTCGCGGCCGCCAGGGGGCAGCAGCGGCCAGTGGGCGGCGGAGAAAGAGCCGAGGCGCCCGGCGACTGAGGCGGCAGAGGACCCTCGCGGCGCCGGCTCCCGAGACGCGAACTCCGCCGGGGCTGAACCGGGCGCGTCCCATCGTCGCCGCCGCCGCCCTCCGAGTCCCGCCGAGCGGAGACTCGTGGGGACTGTCACCCCTTCGGCCTGCCGGGCGTTGGCACGGGCGGCAGCATCCCAAGCTCGGGGCGCAGGCAGGAAGGGAGGTGGCGGCGGCGGCCGGCGGGGCGCGACCCCCGCGCGGGTCTCAACAATGGTGCTCGGCGCTGGCGCGATCTCCGCGTCCGCCCCGCGGCCGTAGAGGAAGCGGCCGGGAGACGCCCCCCGCCACACGCTTGCCCGCCCGAGTTTGCGCGGCTGGCCTCACCGGCTGGGGCTCCGCTCGCTCGCCAGCGCCCAAGGCGGCTCAGCCCGGAGCTTGGTGCCGGCGCCGGGCTCTCTCTAAACGCTCCTCTGCCTCCTCCTCCTCTCGCTCCTCCCGTCCCTCCCGTGGGTGCTGCCTCGGGCTTCTCGGCGAGAGGGAGTACAACTCTCTGCCTCTCCAAGGAGACCGGCCGGTGACCACCCGACCAGAACTTGCCCATTGAAAGCAAGCCCGGAACAGCCGGAGAATGTCCACCCCGAGCAGATTCAAAAAGGACAAAGAGATCATAGCCGAGTATGAAAGTCAAGTGAAAGGTAAGGATGGGAGCGGCTGCCTCGCTCCTTTTGTGTGCCTGCTTGTCATTGTGCTCCTGGAGTTCCCGTGTGTAACTTGGTTGTCTGCGTGGGCGGTAGGTGGCGAGGGGACAGCTCGGCTCCTGGCTGAGCCCCCAGGGCGTCCTATAAGCCAGTCTTAACCTGATCAGACCCACTGGGACAGGATACCAGGTGGCTTCCCCAGGCTGGAGCTCCTATCTCCAACGCTGAGACAACTGGCTGGAACTTAATCACCTTCAGCTGGCGATTTACTCAAAGGCCGGCAGCGCCCAGAGTTCCTGCCCAGTTGTCATCATCCCCCCCCCCTTTTTTTTTATAAATGTGAAATCATTGTCACGGCATATTTTTTCTATGGAGTCATTTTGGTAAAGTCTGAACGCCTTAGTGGTCGAGCGCCTCGCTGCTGAAGGCTGCTTCTTCCGACAGACATGCACACTTTTCTCTGTTAATTTAGTAGGGCGAGTCCCCTTTATGAAATCGCTCTCTCCACGCCGTGCCACTTAAACCTACAGCGACTGCTGGAATCTGACTCCTCCTTTTTTAGCAGGACTCGGGTGCCAGCCTTCACACTCACAGGAGGATATTGCTTTATCATTTGCTGGAGGGCACTTGCATATGAAATGAAGGCTTGAGTAGAGGAGTGAGTGGTTTCAGTTCATTTGCATAGCCAACTAACGAAGGCAACCTAATTAAGGTGGATTGAGCCTTTTTACTTTCTGTGCTTCATACTTCTAAAAATATATATTTTTTTCTTCCAATTCAAGTGTTTTGTTTTGCACTGGGTGTTTTAATAAACATCTAAGTATTTGCGCCCCTCCCATCCCCCCCCCTCATGTGTGGTCTTTCTGTATATTTCCTGATGAAGACAATGGATGGAGTGTTGAGATCACTGCTGCTCAGTGGTGCATTTAGTGCAAAGTTGGAAAAGATTGCTCTATCAACACCTGTGTGTATACCCTGTGTTGTGAAAGGGAAAGGGCTGCAGAGCCTACACTAACTGTGCTTGCCTGGGGAAAGGCTGGAGCCACTGTGTTCTTTTGTATGAGCCCTGGAGAGGACTTGGGGCCAGGGAATCCTGGGTCACCTGAGTGGGAAGATAACTCAAGACAAGTTCCAGTCAAACAGGACACACGTTTCAGGCTGGCCTTTATAGTGGAGTTAAGTATTTTCTGCAACCCAGAATTCTTTCTGCCTGTCATGAAGACAGTTTATACTCCCATGAACTCTTAACATTGATGCTGAAGTTATATTAGCAGAGAATTATTTCCTTAAGTCAGGGAAACTTTCTAATGAGGCGAACAGTTTTCCTCTGTATGCCCAGTGCAGCCTAAAGCCTTTCATTGACAGGCAAGGGCTCCTGCTCAATCACCATTTCCCTGCGCAGGTTTTTGGTTTTCCTCATGGCTCTTTGTGGCAGGCAGGTCTTCCAGAAGTGGCAATCTGGTTTGCTTACTGCTGGGAGTGCTTCCTGGCATACTTCCTGTCCATAAACCTCTCTTGGTTTGGGTATCTCACTTCAAGCCATTTTGACTGCATTTGACCCCTTCCTAACCAAGTATTTGAATATTACCATAATTTCTTCTGGGGGGGGAGTTCTGTGATAAGCGGTAGCTGGAGTATTTGAGAGTATAAACCTTCTTTATTAAAGATAAAAATGGGATTTGTTATAATGAATCAAATCTAAAATTAAGGGAAAATGATGAATATGGTGGAAGGTATTTCTGAAATAACTCAGACCCACGATATGTGACTTTTACCTTACTCCCTTCCATTGTCCACACCCAGTTCTAGGTTTAGGACTTCAGTGAACCTGCCCAGCCTTGCCTGGCCCTGCCCTGTGGCCAGACTTTACCCTGCCTGTGTCCCCACTGCTGAGGAACCTGAGTCTCTATATTCATACGCAAACATGGGAATCGGCTGTCTTAATTCAGTGAGGTCAGTCCCAGCCACAGGTTCACCTGTCCTCCTGGGCGAACCCTGAGAGTGAGAGATGACAGTTCACAGCGCTTAAAGCTTAAAGCCAGCTGTCCTGTGAAGCAGACCCCCTCATGGAGGAGAGCCCGAGACACCTCTGGGGGGCCCCCATCCTCTTCCCTTCCCTGCTGCCTCTTCAAGGGGAGTGCAGGCACCAGGCCAGGACTGAGATTTGTGATTTTGGATAACCTACTCTTTTAATCCCAGCTAGCTCCTTCATCCCATGCTAAACAAAAGAAGCAGCCTCTTCTGTTGCTGAGAGAAGAACCTGCCTTTGTTGGCTGCATTGGGTCTGTTCCCAGTGAATGAAGCCACCGGCGTGAACCCAGGGTAGCTTGGGCGGGCAGGCGAATGGATAGTTCCGAACCATTTCCATTTTAGGTGATTTTTTTTTTTCACCTTCTAACTTTGAGCCCAAGACTCTTGGGGTATTGTTCTTTCTTGTTACCTCCCATTTCCCTGACAGCCACTGGATTTACCTCAGAATTCCTGGTGTAGTATTCGGATCTGATAGAATAACTCAAGTTCCTAGATTTTATCACTACGGCTGCTTGCAAAGGCTGGGAGAGCAAGACTACCTGGAGCTGTCCTCAGCCTCTGGTAATAACATGCGATTTCACGTGTGTGGCCGTAACTGCATTTAGTTCTGTGATTCATGTTGGATATGTCTCTTGTTTGTCTCTGGGGTGTGGTTTTTCTTATCTATGAGGAATTTACATTTTCTCAGTCCTTAGGGTCTTTGAATCTAATTGAAGATGTCATGAAAATTCATATTAATTGCTTCATAAAATGTTCAGGCTCTTCCCTTCTTTTTTTTTTTTTTCTTTGCTGTCCTGATGCAGATGGAATCATCTTTGCTTTTAATTTTTTCCGTAATGAGTCAATTGAGTTCTTGGGAAATCAAATTATAATTCAATAAAGAATATGGAAAAATAAAACCGTGATCAGATAAATATAGAAGAAATTTGTAAAATGAAGTAGGAGTTATCCAGATAGTTAAAGAACAGCTCGGTAGGGGCAGAAGCGTACCTATCAAGCCACCGTTGAAAGAGTCTGGCCATGTCCCATGTCAGCCAGCATCTCAAACACAGAACCAAGAGAGACTTGGAGGGGCTAAGGCAGAGACCCTGTTCTTTATAAAAAAGAAACAAAGGGCAGGGGAAGAATGGAGAAAGACAGAATCTTGAGAAAAAAATGTCGTGGTTGGTATTAAAACGTCAGCATGGTGACAAATGCATGAGATTCCAAACAGTTCATGGCTGCTCCTCATCACCTCTGGCAAGCGAGGAGACTGGACCGGCTCACAGGAGCTTGAGGATTACCTGGGGGTCTCTCCGAGCGACCTCAGTAAATCTGTAGAGAAAGGATCCACGAGTCACCTAAGTGGAACCTGAAGCAAGAAGCCATGCATTTCTGAGGGGACACTAATGAGACACGTTGGTTTTAAATAGCACGCATTGGTTGTTCGGAGTGGACAGCCATGATCTGCTGCATCTCCTAGGATGGGAACCTGACCACAACCCATAGCACAGAAAGAACCGGGAAAATCAATGCTCCCTTGGCCACTCTGCTACCTGGGATACAGGAAGTACACTTCAGTGCCATCTGGAACATAATGGTGTGGGTTCATGCCATGCCGTGAACTTTAAGAGGGAAGTTTTAAATGCTAGTGTTCCCTGCATGGTCATGGAATTTGCTTTACTGTTGCCATATGACTGGAATGGAAAAGGGCAACTGTTTGAATTAGGAACTAAAAGTTTATGGTTGGGAGGGCCTTCAGATGTTCTTCAGTTGTTCTGGCCAGCCCAGTCTTTCTTAAGATGCAGAGAGGCCTCATGACAGCTATGTAATTGTACAGTTTGCTTCCAAGTGTCCCTGGAAGGCAGTACTAACCCCCTGAGAGGATTTGTTCCTTGAAGACTCACAGTTGAACCCAAGTGTGTGTGTGTGTGTGTGTGTTTGTCGGGGTAAATGATTCCAGTTATTAAATTATCTCTGGGTTTATTCCCCTCCTTGCCAAGCTCATTTCAAGGGACCACAGTGCCCAGAGGCAGCTTCACATGGTGACCTGTAAGGTCAAGGAAAAGTGCACGGTGAATGTGCACCCACGGTTCTGTTGAAACATTGCAGTCACTGTGATGAAGCCATTTGCCTGACTAACTTTCCAGATGGTTCTAAGCCAACATGTAGTTGCTGGGAATTGAACTCAGGACCTCTGGAAGAGCAACCAGTGCTCTTAACCACTGAGCCACCTCTCCAGCCCGCTGACTAACTTTCCTAACTACAAAATACATTGATGAACACTTTTGTAGGCCAATTTGAGCAAACATCCTTCCCCCTGAAGGGGATAAAGGTTAGGGTACGGCACAGACCAGAAAACCCCAGCTCCAACCATCCCCATTTCTTTGGCCTGGGTTGACCAGGAGGAGCACGCTGTGTTAGCCCTGTGTGGGGTTTCTGATTGTGGCAGAGCCTTGACTTCCTTTTCTTTCTATTCTTTTCCTCCTCCTTCTTCTTGCCCTTCCTCCTATTCCTACTTTTCTTCTTCCTCGTTGTCTCCTTTTTGGCTGACCTGGAACTTCTCTAGCCGAGGATGACTTTCAGCTCCTGACTCTCCTACCTTCTCCTCCCAAGGACAGGGGTCACAGGTGTGCTCATGCTTGTGAAGTCACACCTACCTCGTCTTCCTTTGTTCATGCTACCTAGCTGACAAATTAAAAAATAATAATAATAGTTTGTGTTTCTTGTCTGCTGCATTTGATAGATAATTACGTGAAGACACTGTTACTTCTGGGTCCAGAGCTGCTTTCTTGTTTATTGACAGCCGACACATTGCTACCCTGTTGACTTCTCAGGGAAGATGGGACACAGTTTAAGCGCAGGCGTGGAGTTAGCTATCTACTAACTCCACTTGTGACATTGAAGATGCGGCTTCTTCATCTACAAGACGTGGATAATAATAATAGGACTGCCTTGCCTTAGTGGGGTTGCCCTGGGCTGATTTG